GAAGGTTGGAAAAAAACATCTATAATATAGTATGTCTGACATCATAATATCATCGTGTCTGACATTATAATATAATATAATTATAATACAATGTAATATAATATCATTCTACATCTACCATGCAGATTTAGCAACACAAGCTGAATAATTTCTTTGTGACACACCACGTGTATTTAAAAGATTCTGAGATTTTGTCGTCTAATAATATTCAAAATTCCAAAACAAAAGTCGTACGGCAAGTTTTGAAAGATTCCTATGTTGAGAACTTCAATCTTCAAGATCATGAAACAAATTTTTCAACGTTTTTTCTGGGAACGTTTGAATTTTGCAATTTTTCGAAGATAAAAGCATCCTTATTTAAAAACAAATTTAAGAACATCGAAGAAGAAGTTTACTCTTTGAAACACGTTATGATTTTTTTTTTCTTTTTTTCTTTTGAAGAATATCAAGAATTCGGCTCTTCATCTGAGATCACTTGTTGCGTTTTCGAATGTGCTTCCTTCGCAACTGCGATCAACGACCGGGCCACCCGTCACCGGGTTCACCAAAAATGGTGCTCGTGCCGGTCGTCTTTTTGCCCCTGACCCACGGGATGTTGCATCGATGCAACAATGTTGCGTGCTCGGACGATCACGTGTTCGGGGAACTTTATTGCGTCATTTATTTTCAACGAAACAGAGAAGCAAAAAGGGCAGGTGCGCGCAAATATTTCTTTGATTCGCAATGGTTTCTCTTAATCACTCTGCAACCGCGAGGGAGATGCACGAAGAGATTCGGACTATAAATGATGGTGGACTGCGTTGCTCGAAGGGCTGAGAGTGCACAACCGGGTGGAAGACCGAGTTTTTTTTTTTTTGTAATTTGAGTTAATAACGTTTTCCGAGTGTCGTACGAGCTTTGCACGTCCGGTTTCATGGCCAGCCATTGTTATAATTTTATTCATTACTCAGAAATAGGAGTGTAGCGTAGTTTTCACCGTTTAAACAAGAAAGCAATAATTTACAACGTGAAACGAGTCGTAAGAATCACTTACCCTACTGTGATTCTCAATCCTTCGCTTCTGAATAGGCTGCAACTTTTTATACAGTTTCATGGTTTTATGCAACGGGGGCGTTTAACGATATGGAGAATGTAGAGATTCGTTTCTGCACGTGTACAAAAATTATAACGACTACTGCACTTTGGATATTTTATGCAAGTT